GGTTGGATTCACTTGAAGTTGTAAAGGTATAGTTGAATTCGATTCGTCGTCGTAAGGCATTCAGATACTGTCCGTATAGAAATATTATAATTATTCACCCCTGTCCTTGTAATGCCTGAATTTTGAAGGAACCGGGTAGCGTCGTTACTTTGAATGCACAAGTCTTATTTGTAACTTCCGATGGAACTGCAGATGGTTGGCTAAGTTGTTTGCACACTGACTCTGATGCACGGCCTGTTTGGCATACGCCTAAACAATTATTATTATTTTTTTCATCAACCAAACTGCCAAGAGGAGATTGAGACGCATGTTCAACATGAGCAAACGGTTAGACGATTGAAATTTTCATTCATGAGTTCTTCCTTAGGACTTAACATCATCCAGTCAAGTCAAGTCAAGTATATGCTTTATGCACTCCGAGCGGGTGAAGTATCATGTATCCAACTGGAATAATGAGTTCGTGTGAGTACACTTTTGAAATTCGAGCAAAACCTAACATCCGTCATCGTTATCAGATATGAAAAATCACTTATTTCATTTGCCATCATGTGCAGCAGTATCTGATCGTTTGTAGTTTATCTACAAATTCTGTTGTAGCCAGATTAGGTATAACGTATTGGATTGGTAAGCTGATAAGGGATGATAGTATAAACCGGTGTGGAAAACTGTTGTAACCACACGGTAAGCTGTGTCCCGTGTGATGCATGCATTGTGATATACCTTCGAGGTGGTCAATCAGAAGAGTGGCGGCATTCTCACGTACAATTTATTATTGTTAGGACGTTGCGTTTTTATCCGGAAACGGCTAAGTATCAACCAATGATGGATTAGAACATGGGAAAATATTATATAATATATATTATATAGAGCTTGTGATATGCTTATCTGAGTTTGGTAACGAGTCCGGGAGAAAGAGAGAGTTTAAGAGATCCAGGCTCTCAAACTCCCCTGACCAAGAGAAGAGAAAATCGCTTGTTCACATGACCATGACGTAACATAGCGAATTTGGATTACGTAATCCAAACAGATAACTAATTTGGAGTTCTATCGAACTCATTTCAGATCAATGTGTTTGAAAAGGAATTCTCTGTAGTCGAGTTCGCCTACATCGTGTTCTTAATCAATCGGCATATTTCTTGATTTATCTAAGTGTTTTCATGATTCAATCGACAGTATCCATACCTCGTTCGGGTTCTGCTGGATTTCTCGTAACCCACTGGATCCGTAGTAGTGTCGAAAACAGGTAAAATATCGAGTATTATCAACAGTTTTACGAGTTCACCTTAGGTCACCTAGGGCAGGCTGTTCCATATGAAAAAGCATCGGTTTGTTTTAGTAAGTAATGATTGAAAACTGTAATACTTCAAAATGCACACGTTTTATAGTCAGTTGAACAGAAAACGTTCAAACACGGTACATTGCGGTTCAATGATAGAGGCTTACTTTGGGCGATGGAACTGTGGAGAAGCTGCACACAATTCGATCGGGAAATTCCTCCCGGATCTTCCCCACCAACAATGTACCCATTCCAGCCCCTGTACCTCCACCCAATGCATGAACCACTTGGAATCCTTGCAAACACTCGCACAACTCGGCCTCTTTGCGCACAACTTCCACAATACTGTCAATCAGTTCAGCCCCGTCTGTATAATGTCCTTTTGCCCAGTTGTTCCCGGCCCCAGTGCTTCCGAACACATAATTATCTGGACGAAACAGATGTCCCACTGTGCCACATCGGACCGCGTCCATTGTTCCGGGTTCAAGATCGCACAGAATTGACCGAGGAACAAATTTCCCACCTGAATAAAAGCATGCAAATACAGTACTTCAAACTGAGTGACGATCCTCCAAACGGGACAAAGTTACGTTACTTATGGTATATTACACTTCGGATGAAACACAAGGCAATGAACCCGATCACAATTGGACAGAAGTCGTACAAATCTGTTGCTCACTGAAAAAGGTGTTCTGTAGCGGTAAGCTTAACGACCAAGTGAAGTAACACGCTGCTGGTGTGCCTTCAAGAAAACTGAACATAGGACCTTCTCCAAGTGCGCCGATAACACAGAATGAAAGACAAACTTGAAAGAAGCACAGAAGAGTACAATTTCTTGTGGAACATACACCCCCAGAGTTACTCTCATGTTTAACGCGGGATCTAGGGAAGGAGAAATAAATAATACAGAAGAAACCCCATGCAC